TGGGCTCACTTACCAGCTGGGTCAGGAAGTTACCTTCCACACACTCCAGAAACCTCCTAGACTGTTTTCCCTCTGCTGTGTTGTATTTCCAGCTGATGTCCAGTAAGTTGAAGTCCCCCACAAGAACAAGGGCTAGAGATTGTGAGAATTCTGCCAGCCACTTGTAGAAGGCTTCATCTGCCTCTACATTCTGGTTGGGTGGTCTGTTACAGACTCCCAACAGGATATCTGCCTTGTTGGCCTTCTCCTTCATTCTTACCCATAAGCACTCGACCTCGTAATCACAAACTTCAAGCTCTATACAATCAAAACACTCTGTCTCAGTTACCACACTCTTCCTGGTGATGGTTTCCAGCCGAGTGGCAACCATAGCTGTGTCTACCTCTGGGAAGGCAATGACTACTGCTTGTGTCAGAAAAGAGCTTCTGTTCACAGCAGCACAACACTGGATTGTTTTGCACTCAAGAAAAGAAGAAATGACAAGTCACTGCTGTGAAAACAAAACAACAAAAAGATGGCTATGCTCTTAAGATATTTTGTAAGAGACGTGTGTCTCCTGGCACAAGAGACAAATTCATACAACTGTTTTCATCAAGTCCTAGTCATGAAAGGCCCTTTTGCTGCAGATGGTAAAATACTGGGCAGTTTTCTCCCTCAACTGGGAGGGGACTCAATGCCTTTGCTGGCAGTTTACCATTAAGAACAGAACTTTAGGAGACTGAAAAATTACCATAGGCTTTAGTCTACAGCTTTTTCCAGGTGTGTGCTCTGAACCAATACATTGTTTCCTAGGGAACTGCTGCGCCACAGAATGCTATTTCCAGGGCATTAAAACTTGTTTTTATCTTCAGAGTCATGTATGGGGAGGGGACTAATGTATTTTTATTTCTTAGAGAAAGAAGCAACCAGTTTGAGAATCTATTGACTTTTTTCCACTAGTAAGATCACTTTAAATAAAGTAAAAAATAATAGAAACTACAGTTTAAAGCCTGAGTTGTATGAAATCACCTTACCTCAGCATCTGTCTATCTGGTGAGTAGAAGTCTGGCCATAGACCTTGTGGGATGTAACAGCACCATGTGTAGAGGAGTCTTTGTTCAAGGGTGTGTTTGCATTTGAAACTACTTTCAGCTTAACTGGAAGACTTTTCATTTGTAGCTCTTCTTTCTAACAAAGTGGTCCTGAAATTGTCATCATTGGCTGTTGCATAAGCAAAACCTTCTACTTTAGGCTGGAGCTAATGAAAGACAGGCTGTTTATTTTCTTGATACAACAGAGCCCTTGGCTAGTTAAAAGGAACAGCTCTGCTTCCTTCTCACTTTAAAAACAAACAAACAAAATCTCTGTTTGGTGTAACATACAACGACATGACCATACAATTTCTAAAATACTGCTTTCCTATGTAATAGCAAATTTTAAGACAGGGTAACCTGGAATATCTTGTGGATTTCTCTTGGATGGTCCTGCACCTGGTCTTGCAAGGTCCTGCACCTCAGCTGGGGCAACCCATGATATCAATACAGGCTGAGGGATGAAGGGATTGAGAGCAGCCCTGTGAAGGACTTGGGGTTCTGCTGAATGAAAAGCTGGACATGAGCTGGCAATGTGTGCTCACAGCCCAGAGGCCAATAACCACATCCTGGGCTGCATCAAGAGAAGTGTGGCCAGCAGGTCGAGGGAGGGGATTCTGCCCCTCTACTCTGCTCTGGTGAGACCCCCACCTGCAGTGCTGCCTCCAGCCCTGGAATCCCCAGCACAAAAAGACATGGACCTGTTGGAGCGGGTCAAGAGGAGGCCACAAAAATGATCAGAAGGATGGAACAACTCCTGTGAAGAAAGGCTGAGAGGGGTGGGGTTGTTCAGCCTGGAGAATAGAAGGTTCCAGGGAGATTTTATTGTAGCCGTTCAGTACTTAATGGGGGCCTGTAAGAAAGATGGGGACAGACTTTTTTGGCAGGGCCTGTAGCAACAGGACAAGGGGTGATGGTTTTAAACTAAAAGAGGGGAGATTCAGACTAGGTATAAAGAATTTTGTATTCTGAGGGTGGTGAAACACTGGACCAGGTTGCTCAGGGAAGTGGTAGAAGCCCCATCCCTGGAAACTGTCAAGGTCACGTTGGACGGGGCTGTAAGCAACCTGATCTGTTTGAAGATGTCCCTGTTCACTGCAGGGGGGTTGAACTAGATGAACTTGAAAGGTCCCTTCTGACCTAAACTGTTCTATGATTCTATCTCATGATATAAAGAGGTAAGAGGCTATGACCTTGCGAGCTGCAAGGAAAATGCTATTTATCAACTTATTCTTTTTCCAAAGTTTCTACTACTGTAGTTTGGTGTTTGGACAATCTTAAGCCTTAAATTTTGAAAGTGAGTATTAACTTCTATTTCAACTCTGCAAGAGAGACTTTGATCCTGAAAAGTTAAGAAAATAATAAGGCAACTAAATTGTAAAACAGGTGGGATTTGTTAACTCACATACAGTTCCTTTCTTCACTAGAAATCTTTACATAACATTGGAGAAAAAACAAAAAATTGTTTCTAAAAGGATGCGATGGTTTTAGGATTTAATTTGGTGATTTTTGACTTGTTTGATCCTCACAGCATCTATGACAGCAGACACCTCCTGCAGGTATTTCTTAATGTGTATTTCAAATTTCATTTAGAAGAGCTAAAAGGACTACCTGCTCTCCTCAGAAAGACACGCTAAAAAATTTCATCTCTGGCTCTAAAAAGAAAAGAATAACTGAGGAAGAGAAAGTGCAAGAAAACTTCTCTTGAGCCTGAGGAAGCAGCAGGGTTAAGTGGTGGCTCTCAATGATCCCATCCCTGCATCTCAGAGTGCTTTTTCGTAGGCTGTGAATCTGTCCCGGTGCAGCTCTGCCCAGGCAGCTGCTGCCACCATGTTTCAGGCAAAGTGTAAGTTTAGCACCGACCTCATGGTGGGGAGGTCTTCAAACTGGCTCTCTGCCCTTGTCTCTGTGATCTGTGGTGCTATGGATCAGCAGGCAGTTACAGAAAGGATTTCCTTTGCCACTGTTAATATGAAATAAACTGCTCATTTGCATTTGTTCTTCCTTTGGCACCAGGAGATACATTGCTTGAAGTCAGCAAGGAATGATCCTTACTTTCTTTTATATCCAAGTGCTGCACTACCCCAACCAGTATCAAGCAACAAAAGATGTGATGAAAGCCTGTAAAGGTCCTTTGAATGGCCTTTTTATAAGCAGTACACTTATGTCACGTTTCAGCATTTCCCCAAACTTCTGTGAACATTTTCATCTCCAGACACCTACTGTCAAGGTCTGAATTCTTCACCACAAGTTTTGTTTACAAACAAGTGAAGCTCCTTTAGGGGAACTGGGACACTGTCTTGGTAACCTATATAGCTCAACTGCTACCAAACTACCACATTTGTCATCTCCAGTCTTGTCTGGAGAGTTTTTTTAAATTATTAAGTATATTTGCACATTGCAGCACATCCATTAACATTTAATGACTGAGACACCATAAGTATAATCTGGAACGAAGGCCGAGGACGATAGTTTCCACAAGCCTTTTAGGACAAGGTTTATGAGTCACTGTCTTGTCCCTGACTGCTTCCTCTTCCTTCTCACAGCTGGCTGTGATCACAAGGACACTTTCATATTTTGCTTAAACAGGATATTTCAGATTTTTTCCCACTTACTGATCATGTCCTTGCTGGAGACAGACAGTTTGAGACTCTGAGTGAAGTTACAGTTTTCATGCTTTGGACTGGCTCATTGAAGGCACTTGCCTTTTTCATCTGGAGATGATCTCTCCCAGTACCAAGCTTTGCACTCTGGCCCTTGCTGTGGGATAAGCTGATGCATGTTTTGAGGAGTGCTGAAACACACAGCCAGTTCTGATCTCTGATCCTACAGAAACCACTGATTCTGTCCTGCTTTGTGTGTAATCCTGTAACAACCGTTCTTTGAACCATATTTCTTGAGGTTTGCCAAGATGCAGCTTCACTCAGAAACATTTTTTAACCATTACAGTATTGGGTGACAGTAATTAATCAAATTAACATGTGTGACTTCCACAAAAAAAAAAAAAAACCACCAAAACCAAAACTTTCTTCACTACAAAAACAAAAACTGCTGCTGCTGGAAAGAGTCACGACAGCTGCACCCGTTCAGGCTACCACAACCAGCTGATGGCCACTGAACATATGGGAAATGTTTCTACAAACAGCTGGGAGTTGCTAGAAGAGCTCTCACACTCTACAGATGGATGAGTGGCAGTATTTTTCTTTGCCTCAGTATAGTACTTGCCCTTAGAGTCTTATACAGTACCCAATTTTCCTAAGAAAAGTCTGTATTGCATTTATTGCTGCCTGACTATTTGTACCTCTTTTTACCAACCATTCAAACTCTTTTAAGCTTTCTCTAAACTACTGTACAAGTAAGCTGGGTTTAAAATGCTAGGGTAGTGGATGTGAACACGTACAGTCACAGAGGTACACAGCCATAACAGTGCTGTGTGTAAATCATTTTACAGTAGAAACTAATAAATTCACCTTTATTAAATCAGTTTATCACAATTGTTAAGTTACAAAAATAACTTCATCCAGAATGATGTTAAATATTAAATACAAAGGTAAAACAGTTGTGCAGTGCTCGTAGAATAAAACTTTTTATATGTCTGAGAAGGGGCAAAGTAGCTGACCCATAAGTTCCTGTTTAAGACTGCTGGCCTGCATTTACCAACTATATTTAGTTCTTGTTGACTTGAAGACATATGGAAAGCAAACTGTATGTTAAGGAATTGAATTTCACCTAGGCAAGGCTGAAAGCAGTGAGAGTTTCTGTGCTGCTTAGGAGAACCAATGCAAGCCTCAATCCATTTTAAGTAGAACAATGATTATTTTCAAAAATGAAGCCAAACAGTAGCGACTGTTTCGGTGTGCACAGCAGCTGAAAAATTTTATTCACTTGTCTTCCACATCTGCCACCATAGCCTCAATCGCATTCCAGTCCAGTTTGCTGAGGATACTTCCTGTGCTTTCAGAAACACCATCAGTGTCAATAAGGCCCAGAGGAGAGAAGCTCACAGGATCCACTGCTGAGTCCTATTAGAGGAAAAGAAGGCGAGCTGAATCACTGTGCATTGTTCATGGGCAAGATCTCTGTGCAGCCAGTAGAAATGATCCCACTCTTTTCACACATGTCCTAATCATGTTATGTATCACCTGATTATTCTGCAACAAATGCCATTTATTTTCCTGTTCATTCACTCCCACTAGTCTCTGTTGCCTGGACAGACATCATGCCTGTACAGTGAAACTACCACAAGTTGTTATAAAGTACATTCATTTTCAAGGCTGACAAGAATGATTCCACTTGTAAAGACAAAATGTAGCTCTGTTGAATTTCCATAATTGACGTCCCCCTGCGTCTATCCCACCCACATGTTTTGAATAGAGAATCACATTTTAAATAAAGCAGAATTAAACAAACTGTTAAATGGCAGGAATCAAATCATTCCTAGAATAAGCAGACATCCTACCTCAAACAAGGAGTCATGAGTATCTTGAAGTATTCTTTGGATATCATCAGGCACTGTCCAAGGACTTACTATGTCTCTATCAGTCTCTTCATCAACAGCTTCTGTCTGAACTGCAGTGGCAACACGTGGAGGCTTTTGTTTTGATGTTCTGCTGACTCTACACTCAGCAGCTGAGGAAAAAACAAACCAAACACAGCACCGTTACATTTCTTGCAGTTTTCTTCTGAATGTCTTGAAACTTCTCCAAGAACAGAAGCTCCAAGTTCTAAGAACTGAAGCTGTGTGTAAACACATGGGAAACCAGCATGCTCTGTTATCTCAAACTGATGTGGAGTTATGGTGAGAAAATATGGCTGGTCCCTTCCAGCCTCATGCTCTGAACTGTCTTCCCAGAGCAGAGTGGTGAGACACTGGCACAGGTTGCCCAGTGTCCCGGAAGTGTTCAAGGCCAGGTTGGATGAGGCTTTGTGCAACCTGGTCTAGTGGAAAGTGTCCCTGCTGATGGAAGCGGGGCTGGAACTGGATGATCTTTAATGTCCCTTCCATCCAGACCTATGAATAGGACTAGGCACAGTGCCTACAGCTTCTAGGTCCTGTAGTGCAGTCCCCAAAAAGGGACATTGCTACATTATTTGATACATTATACAGATAAAACCATATAAATCCTGGATTTGTGTCTCTTAGAAGAGAAGGAACTTCAGTGAAACCCTTAGCAGTGATGAGATATACTGGAGAGACAGATACAAGAAGGTGACATGAAATCAGAGAATGATCAACCTGTATTTAGAGTTTAGAAAGAGAACGTATAGAAAGGAGGGGGAATGACTTTCCACACGTGTAGAGGTGAGTGAGAGATTCAGGAAAAATGCCTGTCTGCTTAGTACTGCTTTTCTCCCTTCCTGCATTGCCAATACAAATAAATTGGCATTAGACTAGCCAAATAGGAATTTTTATTATGCCACTACTGTAATCCTGGTATAAGGGAGAATGGAATCAATCCACAGTATTTCCTAAGTTTCAGACTGATTCTCTCCTCAGTATTTTTCTATCTGATCAGAAATCTTGTAATCAAATCCTGTATTTGCTGAAGAATTTGACTAAGAGGAAATATTTATGTGAGGAAACCTTTATGGATCCAGACCCATACAGACAGGCATAGGAAAAAAGGATCACTAAAATTTGAAGTTTTTTTTTAAAAGTTCAGTCATTAATTTTTCCAGTCTTAACATTATGACAAAATAGTCTCTGTACAGAGGGACAAAGACAATACAATTGCTACTATGAAGAGCTCAAAAAGTAAGCAACATAGAAAGGTAAGGGAGAGGCACAATACTTGTCTACTCTACTGCTAACAAATTCTCTCTCTGTGGGTTTCAGCTGAAAGACAGACTCAAGTCCTATGTCCCTCATGACTCTGTAATGCCTGTTTCAGGAAATCACTGAAATCTGGCACATTTGCTTCAGTAACCTTGGAACTACCAGCTGGCTAAAACCATTCAGGAGGCAAACAGAGGCGATCGATTAAAATATTTCACAAGTTTCTAATGAAAAGTATTTTTATGTGGGGGAAAAATGAGGATTTTTATTCTTCTAAACTAATGCTGTATCTGAGGCCTGTGTTGCATAAATTCTACCCAGGATGTATTCTGAAATCTGTGATCTGTGTCTTTTTCCCCTGTTGTCCTGGTTTCACTGGGACAGAACAATAGAATTGCTTCTCTGTCAGAAAACCTGCATTTTAAGAAGACTGCAGCACCTGGTAAGAACAAAGTTGAGAAGACACTTTGTTTTAGTTTGCAGCCAGCCATGGTAGGTGGGTTTCCACAGTCATCAAGGTTTTTAGTAGTTTAGTTAGCCAGGTGCTAAGGCCAGGAGGGACGAAAGCCAGAGCAGCTGACCCAAGGTGGCCAACAGCAGTATTCCATACCATAAATGCCATGGTCACTATAAATTGGGAAGTTTGCTAGGGATGACCCTCTTGCCATCCTGGAGGGTCCTGCCTGTCATTCTGCTCCCAAGGTCTATTCTCCCACTTGTTGTGACCATTGTGCTTTCATTGGCTGAATATAACTTTGTGTATTTTATATTAATATTAACATAAATTCTTCTTATTATTTCATTAAATTTGCTTTCATTCCATTCCACAGGTCTCCTTTTCCCAGTTCCCCTTCCCAAGTTTGGAGGGGTCACTGGGTGATAGAACAAGTAACTAAACTAAGACTAAACTGTATAATGAAGCTGAACAGCACAATGTCATTGCTTTTTGTAACTTACAGTGTCTAGAATTAACAGGACAGTTTGCAGCATTTCTCATTCTTCCTCTGGAAGTACTTTTCTGTAGGACTGTACGGGCATTTCCTAGAAAGAGAAAGAAAGCAATTCCTCTGTTAGATTGATTAGATCAAAACTACTCAAAAGATGCTTCAAAATTTTCATCTATGAGCTTGCTTCCCAGATTACACATTATTCTTGATGTGGCAAATTAAGCTGCTCTGGGGAAAGGTAGTTTGCATCATTTAACACGCCAATTACAGCACAGCTGCTAAAGTCTCAGGGCAGGAAACCTCCAGGATTATAAATCTGACTTCCTACATAGGTATTAAAGCTTCTCCCTCCTAAAATCCAGTATTAACTTGAAGATCATCTTCAGTATGTGCCTTCATTAAAAGAGTTCTGTTCTTACCCGTGGACTGGGTTAAACCAAGAGCTGGGGTGAAACGGTGTACTTTTTGACCAAAGTTCGGTTTGACAGCACCTCTGCTCCTTTCTGACAGAATAGGACTGTTCAGATGCCCTCTACAACAAGAAAAAAAAACCACCAACAACAACAAAATCCCAAACACTTTCCACTGGCTACCATGTACCATTCCTCCACACAAGTTAGATCTTACAGGGCTTATTCAGATGAGGCAAAAAGGCCACAGAAATCACTGTCACCCCACTTAGCTGAGGATCAGCATCATGCACTGCTCATGAGGCAAACAAACCTCACCAGAATGAGAACTGCTGGTAGTCACAAAGAAGCCATAAAACTGGTTTTACAAATAGGCAGTTTAGCTCCAACAAAACTTATTAGTTAGATGTTACTGCCACTCTTAAGGTGGTTTCCTGCGTGTCATTCCTTCGCGCTTCTGATTCTGGCAGGGCTGATACATTTAAACTGCCCTCGGACAGCAGTAGGCTCTGTACAGCACTGACTACATTCAGTTCAGTGCTCTATCCTGGGACTGTACCTATTGAAAGAGATGCAGAAATATTTAAGTCTGTAAGTTACAGGATTATCTAAAGTACAGAGTTACTCCTATTATTCTGCAAAAAAGAAAATTGTATGTAGAAGAAGAAAAAGTATATGGCAATATACCCCTGGATTACATATACACACATATGACAATAATGCCACCAAGTAGAATAAATTTATTGATTTATAATACTCAAATACCATCATCTCCTCAAAAGGCAATAAGCACCAAAGTGCAAAAGAAAGAACAAGTAAAATCCTAGGTAATAAAAAAAAAACAGAAAGGAAGAGAGTAAATCTAGAGTTTGCCAAACTCAAATAATTTAAGTAGTTTATATGCATGCATGGTAGTGTTTTTATTTGCTTCCTGCTTGTTACTAGATGCTCTTCAGATCATTAACTATGCTGGTGGCTATAGTCCAGTGGAACTGCTGTTGAGTGGAATAGGTTAGGACATTGATTACAGCTGTGACTCTAGAGTTGGCTTGTTTTGTGCTCCAAAAGGCATTTTTACGGCTCTTTCCAAGGCTTGCACTAATGGTTGTATGAAGAGTGGTACAGTAACTGAAGACTCCTCTGATCCAGACAAAGTATACCTTTGATTCTGACAGAATAGAAAGCTGCTCTCAAGCTAATCCTACACCTACTAGCTACAAATTGCAGGCAAATTTGAAGTGTGGTAAAGACACCCAATACATCAGAGCAGGGTTAATGCTTAAAGTTGTTACCCTTTAGTAGATCCCATATGCCTTTTCCTGTACTCTTGAGGTGATCTTGTCCTGGACAATGGTCTATGCTCATTTGCTGGTAACACCAATGTTTCAGATAACATTTCATTCATCAGAGAAAGTGCTTGTGATATTCTCATACTGTGATGTTCAGATAACAGGGCCCTAAGGAGAAATAATGTTACATATTAACCCATGCTATCACTCACTTAATTGCAGATGGTTTGTAAGTCTTGTAAGGATACATGGTAACCACATTAAAAGAACATATTTTTGCAATTTCAAAGATATACTAAACCTTTCAAGCTAAGACATTCATTACCAATGGGTGTGACAGAATGAATGAGTGAATGTTGGGGGGGGTGGGGGGCAGAAAGACAGTTGGAAAGCTAAAAATACAGTCAAAGGATGAATCACGTTCAGAGCTTTCCTAAATGGTAAAGCAAACATGAACTATTTACGCTTTTGGTTAAAATATCATTCATGTCTACAGTTTCATCGACAAGATACTTAAAACTACCCCTTCCTTAAGACTGGACGATTAATATATAAATGAGAATACTACAAGCTACATTTATAGCAACTTACTTGTGTTTTTCTTCCTTCTTCTTCTGGAACAATTTAATATCCTTTGAAGTAAGATTACAATGCTGTGCAAGAAAGTATAATAATCATTAACTTACTTTGTATTGTGGTCTCATTCCAATCTCTTACTCTACATTCAAATGTAGACTTATCTGACTTGAAAGTTACTGTTTAAGACACTACCAGGAAATCTTCCTACCAGGAAATTCAGATAAGATTATCTCTATAAACTTCCTAGTCTCTAAAAATATACTGAAAGCTTGCAGTCACACCTTCCATAGCTCATATGCTTAAAATATTAACATTCCTAATGAGATGCCTTCACTGTCAAGTTCAAAGTTTCAAATGGCCTCACCTTCAGTTTCCTTAAAATCAGTGATGTTCCTAACAAGAACTAATTTAAAAAACAGGGCAAGGTTGCACTTCGACCTGTCTTTGCTAGAGTACAGTTCAAATTTTTTAATGCTTTCTTCTAAAAAAACCTCACCAAAACCTGAGAATCCCTCCATCTAATGATTTCAGGAGAAGAGCCTATAACAAAAGCATCAAGTATATATTTATGGCTTGGCAACACTGGAGAGGGACAGAAGCAGGACTCATTTTTCCTGAATCACTTCTCCCTACGCATATGCAAAATAGCAGCTGGGTTTAACTGAGACTGTTTAAAACCAGGGGAAATACTGTATGTCAGAGATGAGATCTGTTATTCTTTCTAAAAGTGAATACAATTGAATTATGTAGTAACAGCAAACTTCCATGTGTTACATGTTTGCTGCTTGGGAGTTAAAACAAGAGCTTCAGCATGAAATATTTTACAGCATAACCTGCATTCAACTGATGAGTAGGAAGTACAAGGGTGTATTTGCTGTTCCTAGGTCTCATCTCCTGTAACCCTGGAGCTCCTCCTGACTCAGTAGTGTCTTTTCAGCTCCTGAAGGTATCCAGGTGACAAATACATATTTTAAGACTTAAGACAGATTGGGAAATTAATTGTGAACTACTTTTGTAACATTTTTTTCCCCTTCAGTTCTTTCCAGCACAGTGAAGATCAGAAAAGATGTATCAGGCCATAAATGTGTTTTTACTAATTAAACTCAAAATTAAAAAATCCTGGGAGGGAAGGGATTGTTTGCTGAGCCTATGTTGAAACTACCCTTCACTGGAAAAATTCATCAGATACTCGAGATACGCCATATTTTAACATCTCTGCTGACCCTCTGTAACTGCACACGCTTCTGTGTGTGAGAACAACAAGGATGGCTGCCCTCAGTATCCCATCATGTTTATAATGGATGTTGGCAGCTGAACTCCACTTTTTAAATCCAGTGGGGGTTTTTGGGAGGTGCAGGGGAAGATGAAACAAGATGTAAACACATCTTTACAACTCCTGTATAACAAAATACAGCTTTTATCATGGAATATTGGGGACTATGCTTCCTCAATCTAGAGCTGGGGGACAGCTCATAATATGCACCTGCAGCTAATTGCCATTACTGCAGCCTGAGAAGAACATTGGTATACTGCTTACTGATCACTTCTGACATAACTATGGCCAGTTCCAATAAAATAAAATTATACATGTAAAAAACCAACATTAAAATAAGAAAAATAATAACTGACAGCCTGTATATTATCTAACCTGAACAATGAACACTTGTACAATACCTAAGTTACTCTTCAAGATACTCATTATTCTTACCACATTCTTTCTTGGATTGAATGGATTATGTTCTTTCCGTCTTTGTTCATCCAGCTTCTTCACATATTCTCTCATTCTTTCCTTTTGCTTTCTTTTCATCCATGCTTTTATCTCTTTCTTCTCCTTTTCTGTTTTTTGAGAACGTCCAGCTGCAGAATCACGAACCCTGAAAGCAGATGTAAATGGGAAATAATCTAGTACATCCTATAAATTGCAAACAATGGCAGTTACATAGGATATAATAAAAATACTGTAATCCTTTAATCTTTAAAATTCTGTCTCAACTGAAAGCACAAGAAATGAATGGGGACATTTTCTTCTGCAAAATTTTACTTCACAAAGTCTTAGCACACAAGTAATTTCCAAGACTTCTCAAAATTTTTCTTCTACTTGTGAACTACATTCAGATAACAGGACTCAACTTTTAAATGTGGACTATCTGTTACTGTCTTTATAGGATAAATAACTGGTACAGAAAAAACTGCAAGTAATTTTGCTTTGATATTTCAATTTTAAGTGTGTATGGTATAAGTATCTAAAAAAAAAAAAAAAAAAAAAAAAAGAAATTCTATCATCCTTTTTGTTCCTTCCCCTCACCCTATGAGCTCCTTCACAAGTCTATCCGTAGAAAGTAATTTTAAAAACACTAACTCAGAATACTACCAACAGAAAAATACAGCCAATACGGAATGCTAACAGAACTTCATCCTCAGGGTTTTTCACAAATATTTGCTAATTCACATTGCAATAGTCTTTAAAGTAAGCAGCTGGATAATAAATTTTTTCTTCCCTGTAAAATTAAAAGCACTGAGCTAAAAATTAAACGTGAGATTTTTCAAGAGAAGTGTTTAATTTTTAAATGCCTCATTTTTGGAAGCCCATTTTGAAACTTCTCCCCTTTTCAAGACTGGCAGGCACCAAGAATTACAAGTGTAGCAAAATAAGGTATCTCTAGTAGCTGCAGTTCAACTGAAAGCTTATGGATTGAAGCATTAAAGCCCTCAAGACACTAGAAGATCTTTGACACATTTGAAAGTGATTTATTTTATGGCAAAGGGAAGTGTCATTATCAGAAGTACTCACAGTCATATGTGAAAATCTGTACTTGAAACTGAGTTGTCTCTAGGTCTTTGGTCAGGTTTCATTAAATAGTACTTGAGTACCTTCCTGAAATTTTCAGTAATTTTGAAAATATTCACATAACTGCAAAAAACAGTCCAACTAGCAACACTTATATATTGATGTAGTCATTATTGACATGTTTGGAATTCTCAAAGGATCACAAGGATGTTATGATCTGTGCACAGATTTAGATTTGAAGCTCCTGAGCTCCTTTTACAATTCAAGTAGAACAAATAAACCAGAGCACTACACTCAAACATGTCACTAGAACACCCTGAAACACGGATCTTAAAAGTGCTGTGAACCACTGTACCAATACAACAGATTGTTTGACATCCTGTGCAGCTCTATTTTTGCTTTGTAAGCAACTGATATCACAAACAGGAGTAGGAAACACCTATAATTTCAACCTATCTCAGGAAATAACACAGCTTATTTTGTAACTGACAGGCAGGAAGGTGTAGGAATCTCCAGCAGGGAGGAGACCATGACAATTTGGAGTCTGGGGCTTCTGAAGCTGCTTTGCCACTGACAGGAAATTTCTATTCTGTCTTTCAGAACTGCTTTAGAAGGCTCCAGTCCACCTGGTTGAACTGAATCTGCTATATAAATAGAGTTGTGCTCCAGCCTACAGTTGGTAGAGAAGGAAGAAGCAAGTAGGAAGGAAAGAATTTAAAAAACAAAATAATAAAAAAACAACTATCACATTTGACAATAACGGTCAGTAAAATAGTGGCTATTAAACAGTTCTAATACTAGTCCCACTAACATCAACTCAAATCACGTCCTTGCTCCCACTGTAATAGGGTGTGAGCTATGAGAAGAATAAACAGGGTTAAAATGATTTAACTAACACATAATAAAAACAGTATTACCTAGAGATTTTCTTAGCTTGTATTTTTGTAAAGCCCAGCTCCAACGGAGAGACGTCACCTTCTACTACAAGATCAGTAAAGATGTCAGTAACACCACTCAGACCAGTGATTTGCAGGGGATCTTCTAAAGAGCTTAAAGTTAGGCAGGGGAAAAAATAAGTTACTAATTTAAAGTAGAACATGCCTGTAAGAACAACAAGCTAAAATACTTCCTTTTATGCTTAAACTGAGAAGGCCACGAGCACCCACAGGGTTTGTACTGCTGCATATGCTGAGGTAAGGCTGTGGTGTGCTACCAGGAACCCAAACTCTCAGTGACCCTCTGAGCAATAATCAGTGTGAGTGAGAAAATAGTTTTACCTAAATTCTGTGCATTTCTTTCCTCTCTATTAATCAGTTGCTCTCAATTAAAAAGAAAAAAAACAAACCCAAAAACCTCACGTAGTTTACAATTACAAGCTACAGTTCCTTCAAATTACTCCTTTGGGTAAAAATCACCACATGCTAAAGTTTATTGCCGCACACCCACCCTCAAGGTACATAATCACTCCCTAATCTACTTTAGCCACAACAAGCAGTTTCACTTACAATACTCTAAAGAAAACGAAACCATTCAGTCTACTGTCACGCTTCAACCAAAACAACAAAGGTGTGTAACTGAGCAGAATGACCAGGAAAAAAGGGAAGCCAGCCACTGTTTTCTACTGCACAACTGGATCCAGAAGACTAACAGCAGTTAACAGTAAAAAAATGTCAGATCATTTTCTGTAATGCATAAGATCATTCCAGTTCTGAAATCTTCAGTCTGTTGCTTTACACTGTTCATATGGTAACACTTCAAAAACTTTCTGGTGATAGCTGTCCTCAGTAGACAACTACTAGCAGCAGTTACATGTTCAAAAACAGTGTTTTGCAAATAGGAGAAATAACAAATGCACATAGACAACAGCAGCATCTACATTAACAGCTCCTGTAACTAGAAAGCAACTTTGAATGCTTTTGCAGCTTTTGTGTAAAGTAAATCTAGGAGGCACTACCAAAGTCAGAGTGAAAGTCTGAAATTAAAAGGCTTTCATTCAGTTTGAAAATTAATGCCTGAATTTTATGTAACTGATAGCTCCACCTTGACAGTCCCTTTTTGGTAGGAGTTTAAAGAAAACAAATTTTCAACAAAACCAATGTCAAAATACATACCTATCAAACAGATCTCTGCATACGTGAAAGCCTGAAATGGAAACAAGCTTTGTCAATAAAAGTCTTGCACTTGTACACAAACTAATAACACATAAGTTATACAGCCTGTGGGTTAAAATACAGAAATATAACAACATGAAAATGTTGACATTAAAAACAAAGGAATATTGTACATAGGCTTAATGACCTGTGAACGAACATGTCATCAACTGCCAGGTTAATACAGAGTCTTTAGAGAACATTAATTAACAGCTCCCTGACTGATATGGATAGTTTTGCTAGGAAGACAAGATCACTGTTGTCAGTTTTATGCCATGATCAAACTGAGCTTATCAGTTCCAGCTAACTGGAAATTATCTGATCCAATTAACTACCGTTTTTCCGTAAAACAGTGTTTTATGGAAAACTAACAATTGCCACTTACTTGAAGAAGCCAGGCTACGAACTCCTGGAATTCAGGAAATGTGGCTGAAGTGCAGCATGGATGTCTTGGAAGGAAGAACACTATTATCCTTCCTAAGATAAACTGTACTCTCAAAAAATTACAGTTGAAATTTAGTACCAGGTACAGTTTTCTTAGCTTGCAAGTAACAAGTTTATACTTAAAGAGAAAACTGTAAGTGTACTACTGTTCATAAAATTCATCTGCGGGTGTATGCCATTTCAGATTTACTTCTGCTGTGTGCAAATACAGCAACCATGCTTTAACATCTTTTAAGATAGATTTCTGCAAATGTGACGGCCAAATGCACATTCACCTGAACAAAATATGTATCATTTTTAGAAGCCTGAATGTAAGCAATGCAGGCAATATGCAGACAAAATAAGACTTTACATTTTTAAACACAGGCAATAGGTTGCTTGCATAATGATTCTTCCTCCTTTTAATGCTACTCCAGTCCTCATAATTGCAAAAATCAATTTACTGTCAGCTTGCAAAATGAAATGAGACCTCATAAAATAATGTTTTAGGACACAGCCTGGAGTTGCTGTATAGTGATATAAAACAATTTATTTTGCTGTTGTGGGTTGGATTTAATTGAGATCTCACCTCTCTAGGACATAAGAGTATGACAGGATAAAGACAGCTTTGGGAGGAAGCTATGAGTGTTCTGTGGCAACGTGACTATTTATACTCACATACACTTAACTAATTACAAATCAGCACAGTGACAGGTTTCAGAAAGAGAATCAAAGTTATTAATTTTTTTCAATAATGGTGAATGTGAATGCAAGCATACTTCACTGCTGAACTGTTTTCAAAGCTTAGTAATGCTGTTCTGTCATGTAACATATATACACTCATTATCAATGCACACCCGTTAAGCCATTCTAAATAATGCAATCTAGAAAGACTGATAACTGACTTTCATGAGCTCACTGGCATTATGGAACATTCTGTGTAACAGCAATGAGGAAGTATTACACAAGGAAGAAAAGCTTTACTTATTTTTAAAAAGAGAAAAATGGAGAAATAAACATTAAAGATTATACCAGAAGATGACTTTACATCACTGGGAAAGTTAGAAGCAGAGGCTGCACAGGCAGGAGAGTGTACTCCCGACACAGTATGACTGGGCACAGGATATTCCAAGTTTAAGGCCTCTTTCTCATCGTCTGTAACATTCAAAAATCAAGTCCCTCAAATAGTGTTCTGGTTCCATTAAAAAATAATACAGTAATTAGTGTAGACCAATGAAAAAACACACAATGCAAAAACTATCGCTCATATCTATTTCTTAGTGGCATATTTAGTTTCTTTGTCAAACTTAGAACAACATGAACCTAGATCAGTTGTGTGTCCCTATGAGAGGGCACTGCCAGAGCTGTGATGTATGTACCAGTCCTGTACGCTCGAACAAAAAGACTAAACTACGAGCTGCCCTGTGTGAGGCTAATGGACATCCTAACTATTGTCTGTACAAATATTATCTGTATAAGTACAGATAAAAATATAATTTGGTTCTACCACTTGGCTTTGTATTAACTTCAGAAGTAGATTGGACTATGTTTTGGCATGAATGTAAAATGGACCTGAAGTATGTACCCCCAGCACGCTCCCTCTTGGCACAGTACAGTAGCTGTAAGTAAATAGGTAGTATATAGTCAATTGTTATATAAATAATAAATTATTCAATACTCCAGCTCTAGCAAACAGTTAAGCTGATGTAAGCTTTTATTAAAATCAAAAGATATTACAACTAAATAACCACCAAAGATGCATGAAAGATGTTTCCTTATATGCACAGAGAAAACTGAGGACAAATTTCATATCCTTTTAGATCAGCAAGCAAAGCACTCAGAAGCACGATGTTTTGATTTTATGATACAACAGAAATGCATACCATCATCATTAATATCCTATATCCAAGTCCTGCATTATGGTTTTTGACAAGATCAAAGTATACAGTTATTTTCAGATGCACTTCTGTTGAAGCAGTACTTATTAATATTCAGATTTTCTACCTTTGATTTTATTTCTCTCTCATATTTTTGGTTTTGGTGCATATTTCAATAACACTTTTTGGGACTGAATTAAACTTCAGTGGTAATTAAAACTTAGTCAAGTTTAATATTCAATTGCAAGTTTACTATCCTTCTGTTAACTGTACACATACCATCATCAATGATTCTATCATCTTCAGAGTATGAAGTTTGAGCACCAAGGTCTGAATTGGCAGGCATTTCAAAATCTTCTATCATTTTCACTAGCTATAAAGGAAACCCAAAAACTAAGTAATGATACATTCTTCAAGGTATTTCTGAGACTTACACCACAGATATTCATGGAAAGTTTGCTTCAAATACAATTTTTTTCCTCATAATCTTATAAACATTTTAAGAGAGCATCCTAATTAAAAACAAAGAAAATAGTTCAGGAATCAAAGTAGCTCAAGTAGATTAATTTCATTTAAAGAGTTGAATCTTCTGGACCCATACTCTGAGAAAAATACATAAGAACTGTATTATTCTTGTGAACAATTTTACTCCTATTGCTAACTTTTTTTTTTTCCAAATAGGTGAAGTTTTCCAATATATCTTTTATAAAAACCATAGAAATAAAAGTATTTCTATATTCTCCTTAAGTCATGAGTCTCCTGAAGTTTAAAACTAGAAAGAGAAAACTAAAATTTGCTAACCTAGATTGAGACATTTTACTGAACATTATTCTTACAAAAACAAGCCTCAAAACTGACTTCTAATACACAGGAAAGGGTTATAAAAGGAATGACCAACTGGTGTGCCGTGAAATAAACCCATTTTCTTTTTTGCCTTTATCTTCAGTATTTGGATAGATATCCAGAAGTAGTTTTAAAATCCAAATGCAAAGAAATGATGAAACAAAGAAAGGATATGTGAAGACTTTTTTTCACTATAAGCTTTTAAAAATCTGGCTATATAATCACCTTGATGAAGGATATAAGTGATTAAACAATCCACCCTAGTGTAGTAACTGTGTGTAGGTGACTCAATGAGGTCCTTACATTCCTGTGAATATATGGAAGGACAGGCAATGGGCACTATTAGTTTGAATGATTATACAAAAAGTAGATGGTGTGGAATTACACAGTGCTACTGAATACATTCTGTATTAAGCCAGGTCTACAGGAACTAGAAACTGACTTAGTTTTCTTGATGTGCAAGAAAAAAGAAAAGTTTTTTACCAGCTAGGTAAATAGAACCTAATGGTTCATTCTTAGATTAGTCACTCCCAATCTGTTCTAAACTTAATGAAAAACTCAAAGTAATGTGAAGAAATAATTGTCAGCATTCCCCATTTCACATACACCTTAAATCAGCCACATCTGAAGTTTTAGGCAAATTATAAACTAGACACAGTATTAAGAGGTCAGTCTGTTGAAAATTTTTTTTTATCATTATCTCTGTCATGACCCATAAAATAGTAATTCCTGAATTATATATAAGATCCAAAATGTCTTTATTTTACTTCTATATTTAGATTAATAAAGACATTAAAAATGCAATTATTTTATTAAATAAATAGGAACAGGTTCCAGAAATATTCGCATAATATTCTTCAGAGGCACAACTGTAGAAATCTTTGCCAAAAAGGTCTCCTACTCAGACTGAACTTTTGTGCTATTCCATTTCTCCAGTTACAGAGAAATTAAATATATTCTACCCATTCACTAAGAACATGACCATTCTGGCCAGCATTTGGTCCACTGTAAGCAATCATGTCAGCCAACAGATGCAGCTCTAAATGTGAAAGAACTGTATGTTATTCTTGATCTCTCTCCACATATCCTAGCAGATTTGAATACACATCATTCCAGGACATAAATTTTGTCTTTAGCTGAAAGAAGATACAAAATAAACTATTTCAGACACAACAGTTAGCAGTCAGAACTCACCAGTCTGGTATTTCTGAAACCCTCCTCCATATTTTCTGCAATGTCCTGTAGTGTCTGTAACTGCATATCCATTTCCTGATGCTTTGGGGAAAAATATTCTTTGCCAATTAATTTGGCTGGAAGCCCTGAAGAAGGATAAGTTCTGCCACCTTCATGTACTATGTTCCAAGTTACACTATCTGTAGCAGAATCTGACTTCTTATCTTCCTTTTGCACTTGCTTCAATTCATTTTTCAGATGATCATCTTGAAATAAAAAAAAAAAAAGAGTGCACCAACATCATAGAATAAACTGCAAATACCTAAGTACTCAAGTAATTAGGCATAGCTTTTCTATACCCAGCAGTATGTTCTAGGAAGCAGGAAGTCAAACGTTTAAATGTTTTGATGTATGAGACTCAAAAAGCAGGAGGTGAGTTGGGGAAAGGCTGCAGGTTTTCTGTGGGAGGTAGGAGCATCACAACAAAAGTATATAGCTTTTTTTTCTGATTCAAAAAGGAAATGGTTTACCTTTCTTCTGAAGCACCTCAGGTGGAATTGCATTAGTAACAGAAGCTGCCATGTGATGAAGTTTTGCAGTAGATGGAATTTCAAACTTCTCATTTTGCTGTGCAGCAGTTATCTCTTCTGCCGACTCAGGTATCATGGGCAAATTGTTAAGGATGCCACTGTCTTCAATGTCAATCACACTGATATATTCATGTTCAGGCTAAACAAGAACAAGATTACTAAGAATTGTACAGTATGTTTTGCATACATTGTTCACCATTTCCTGTGTTCACCTTTCACCCCTTTGATTTGAGAGGCTTTTTGTTTTGGAGACAAAGTAACGACAATCTTCCCTATGGAATTATATAACGGACTCATCCAGGTAGAAAGAACCCAAATTCATGAGGTAAGACAAACACTGTATTTAAAATATATTTTAACAATATATATATTGGACCACTAACCAACTCAGGTGGATCTGACAGAAAGGATGGTAAAGGTCTCTCATTCACTTCAGTGGGAAATCTCAGGTTTAAATACACGTCTGGTGGAAGTATCTCAGGGGTACTAGATGATTCTATGAGAAAAGAATAATAGTATTACATTCACAGTAAAAGCCACTAAAATTCAGACAAACTATTTGGAAACAGGTTTGCATTCTCTAAATGATAAGAAAAGCTTTGATTAGTATTTCTTTTAAACAAAAATATAGACAATATACCTTAATAGATTTCTTTAATGTTTGCTTCTAACAATAAAGTACTAAATTATTTTTCAATTTTGGTGATAAATTAGCAGAAAATACTCAAAAGATTAAAATCAAAGCAACATGCTGCAGTCTAAATTGCTATTCATTTCCAATTACCTCCTGAATAGGTTAAAAAAACCCTGCATCTTTACTTGATCAAAATAAATTATACTACTTGGCTAGAAAGTCCTCTAATAAAGTATATGCAAAAAAGTCATGTAATGTAGTAAAATAATCTTCGAAGTATAGCAATACCGTTGAATTTTACAAGAAATGAAAATTAATATGCTCACTTGGTACTATATATATATATATATATAGTATATAAAGGGGAAAAAGAAATATATAATATATATATATATATATATAGTATAGAGAAAATACTTAGGTACTGAATTTTACATAGTATGATTTATCAAGGATTTATAAAGTGGGGAAGAAAACATAAACCAAAATGTATCTTCTTTACTAAAAACTCAAAGTTATCCTCCATTTTTTTGTTGTACAAACTGACCCAAAAGATGACTGAGAATAAAATTCCTACTTAAGACTGGAACATTGTTACTTGGCATATAGCTATTACACAACTTAGTAGATGCATGGAACAACTGTATAATTAGCTGAGCTACTACAGCTCTATTTCATGTGGAGCTGTGATCTGTTTTAACATCCCACTGGTCAATCCATGTGGTGTGCATAACATCAACTCCTCAAGACTGAGTGGCCCTAAAATTAAACTAAAATCCACAAATGTACCTCCTTATACAGGCACACAAAAGCACAGATATAGCTCACCATGAAAATTCCAGACAAACTTTTCACAAACAGAATTATTTCACATTTGGTTTCAAGAAGTCAGATAATTACCATCTTCTTATCTGTATTCTTCATTAAGCTACCTCATGCATGAAAACCATGTTAAAATTGTAATATTTTTATAGACTTCTCAAACAACAAATGAAGTAGAGAAAGACTGAAGCCACACCTGACACAGGAACAGACATGACTGACTCATTTTTTTGAACTTCAGAAACCTCATTTCCAGCACCGATTCCAACATCCTGATATGCTTTGATCACTTGATAGGAAAAAAAACAAAACCAAATGTATGAATTTACAGAAAGTAAAGATACTCATGGAATTATCTGAATGTACGTTTCTGATTTCACAGCTCACAATCAAAGCAAAGTTGGAAGGGGAAGAGCCAGGGAAACAGTTTCAATCACATATAAAACACATTCTAAAATAGACTTTAGATAACGTCAAGCTAAGTTAAAAGGAGCGCCCAGAAACAGGCACAGCAGAAATGACTTGCAGAAAGTATGTGGAGACTCTTACATAATTATTTTAACTAATATTTTGTAATTTGTATTCCAATATATTCCAGTATCTTCTGGTTTTGAAACAAAAAGTTACAGCACGAAAAACTGGTTTTGCCTTTAAAAACTCACTCTGCTTTGGAAACTGACCAAATATCATAATTAACAGGAAACTATACTAGAAATAGTGGTTGCTGAAGGTCACACAGATAGCACTTACCTGGGTGAGTATTTGTACTTGCATCTTGAGTTTCTGTTGGTTTCTTTCCTATAGAAGCCATGTAACGTAGATCTGCTGAAGTAGTAATTGTTTCCCCAATTGTGCCTAAAATGTGATAATACAAAGTATGTGTCTACAAATAATGCAAGAATTAGAAATCTATGAAAGCAATGATACCAACTCAAAACTAAGGGCTCCAACAGATTTTTCTTTGCATTTCTGACAGGTAATTTTAGCCTTTCTCTAAGCATACTTCATGAATGATTTCAAGAAAAGTTTGTACTACCTGCCTTAGGTGAATATGCAACTGTACTGAAACTTATACAGTGTTACACTGAATTAAAATCATGGCTCAGTTTGTGAGAGTAATTTTTAAATTAAATATTTCAGTATGCTGTACAATAACAATGTGTTTCGTATTTTAAAAGGGAAGAGATAACTTAAACATGTGTACCTTTATTTCTTTATTGATCTTTCTATGGAGCTTTGCAAGCCAGTATTTCTCCAAGGCCAAATTTCAGAGAATGAATTGCATTCTGTCCTCTGATAGGACTAAATATTCATGTACTACACAGAAACAAATATTCCTAAAGGCACAGTCTTCATTTTGCAAGCTAGAAATATTCTCAACATTCAGTTTCTTTTAAGAGCCTAATTAGAAACGCTCACAAATAAAATTGGAGTAATATATTTTAAAATTAAATAAACTTATTTAGAATTTGATAGCACTGTTTACAACATTCTTCTGTTGAATTACATGAACAGAAATTGCTGTGAAACATAGCCACTGAAATTCACTCAATATACAGTTATTATTTAATGAATTCTATTGTTTATATTCATAAATACAAGATTATCACTCATTTTTAAGAAAACTTAAAATACTTCTATAATTATTCTGAGTTTACAGATAATTGATAGGAGATCTTAAATTTGCCTGAATCACTCTCCACACCAATCCCCTAAAAACTGACTATCCCCAAAAAAGATGGAATATCTGTTGTACATCCTAAAAGGTTTTAATAATTTTCTGAGGAAAGATCCCATAAGCTATTATGCTGTATTGCCCATGGACAATCTGAGTTTTTAACATCTTGATGACTTTAGAGTTTTCCTTTGAAATCTAACAAAATTCTGTTCTTTGATTCATTTTATTTAAGCACTCAAGGCATTAAAGAGACTTGTACTTGCCTACTGAAATGAAAATATCATCTTGAAGGTCAGATGTGGGTTTTGCTTGTTGAACCTAAAGTAAGGAGAAAAAGAATTCTCTCAAAAAATAGTTCCAATGGCAATTGAAGGCTTTATTGATGCTGTTAACTTTCCAATATACCCTCCTTTGAGTAACTCTTTGTAAAAAATAAAAAAAAAAAAAAAAAAAAAATTAAAAAATTGTAACATACTTTTCTTACTCCCTTTTTCAATTCTTCTGATCCATTCCAACTTACTGGAATTACTGACTATGTAACATTCGTTCTCACGTGTACCTGGGGGTGATCTGCAGTAACACAAATTCCTTATTCTTCTTTGAGTCTATGCTATCTCTGCTGTACCATAATTAACACCTCCTAGGTCTGAAGAAGCTCTCCAGCTGCTGTGCTGGACAGGGAAGTCTCAAAGAAGGTACGGTGTGGACCAGAAATAGAGCCTGCTGCTCTGGGTTAGTTACCTAGCTTTAATTCTGGTAGTGTTCTATCTTGAAATCTGGTACTTGCAAGGATAACCTCTAAATGTGTTAAAAGATATCAAAAAGGCCTAGGCAGACAAACAGTGGAAGTGCATAAATGAAAACCCAGGTTGACAAAGACTTTCCCTTCTCAGTTTCTTGGCTGAGACAGAACTGAGATCTTGTACTCCCCATCCTCACTCTTACATTGTCATCATCTAGCCTGAAAAGAGTAATGCCTGGGTCATTTGTCCTAACATGACTGCTAGGCTAAAGCTTTTTTTTTTTTGCGTATATGCTTACTTTAAATGTATATAAAGACAAATATCCTATCAAAACAGACAAGTTCATGTCCCAGGAAAAACAAAAGCAACCTTGGAATACTTTATAAAAGTAAACCTCTTGCTTACAGGAAATGCAAGGATATAAATGAAAGATATATACTGTTTCTGGCTGTAGCCTCAAAACTTCATTGTTTTGGTTTACAGTTTCCCACTTCTTTCTTTCCTGTTAATACTTCAATGGAAAAAGGCAGAGAAAAAAAACATTTTTCTATACCCCAGTCCCTGATTCAACCACCATCACTGTATCACTAGGACAGATGATTGAGTCGTCTGGGCAGAAGGACACACTTGGTTTCTTCTTTTCCTCCTTCTCTTTCATTTGTTTATCACGCCTCTTTTGTCTGTGAACATATTAATTACAAATTAAAAAAAAGAACTACATTGAAATAACAAAAATACCTATCATTGTTTTCTGAGAAATATTACTATTAAGAAATATACACTGAAATAAAGGTGGAAAGGACAAACACAACTGCTGCATACAGATCAGTTCAAAGCCCTACTTCTGCCTACCAGAAATTTACATAAAATTCTTGTAGGAACTCATAAGAATACTTAACAATCACACTAAAATATGTTAATTGCCTAATAAGCTATTTATATAAAATATTATAAAATACATAACATTCCATATCTATATTTTGTGTATAATAAATTAATAATTATTAAAATGCTTGTAAGGAATCTGTAAGAAATACTCCAGCAAGAAACAAACCTCCGTTATTGCTGAAACTTTCTAATCCGCTATTTTCCTAACAAAGTTGCAAATTTTCTTTAATATCTGATAAACAGATAAGACAACAATTGCAGCTTTGAACATTTCATCTGAAACCATCAAAACATGTATTCTAAACTCTAGCTGCAGTTACTTATGTATCAACTGTTTTTCACCTTGACAGTGAAAAACTCATCTTAGAATCTGTGTTTCCAACTGCCAGAGTTAAAAGCGTCATAATTAGAAGCAAGTGTTCCGTTCTAGATGCAGTGATGCCATTGACTCTTCCATGGAAAACACGGATCTGTGAAACGTCAGGAATCTATCAATTTTATACGAGAACTGAACAAAAATGCACATGTAGCGTAAACAGCTTTAACTGCCTGTGCAATCAATTAACAAAGAATAAATCAAATTTCAAAAGTAATGAATAACATACCTAGCGAAACATAAAATATCCCTGCAGCATAATTTTGCTAATCACTGTCTAGATTCAGAAACAGAACTAGTATGTTGAATTACACTGAAAGAGAACAAGTCTTTGCTTCTTGAAGATACTAACAGTAACCATATGCAGTGCAGACAGTAGCCTATCAACATTCATTAGGAAAGCTGCAAAGCATTTAGTAAACAGTATATAGCAAATAGCCAGAGGACAACAAGACTTGAAACCACAGATACAGGTATGAAAAGCATTTTTCCCTGAATCTTCTTCCTATCAGCACAGTAACAACAACAACCCCTTCATGCCATAATGCTATACTTCTGCTGTGTCTTCACTAATATTTGCTATTTTATTCTCCTCCAAGAAAATTACATCCAATTCCACTTTATTTAAGACTGCTGTAAAAACTCCATCTGACTTCAAAGCTAGAAGGTATAGGTCACCAGTAAGTCCTTCAAAGTGAAGACCCACTTTAAAAGTTTGGCTTGCCTTTTTCTATTATTCTGCATATTTCTTAATTCAAATGGTTCAACATCAGTTTTTAATAACTGGATAGGTTCTGTTTGGTCTCGTCCAAAAGAAGTACTGGGCACAGGATGATGCTGGTGGCGTTGCTCAAATGCAATGAGATCTTGAAGTGGAATGAGTTTTGGTGCCTGGAAGTGTTCAGAGAGAGAAAAAAGCAAAAATGAAACAATGATACAGGAAACAGAGAAGGCAATCCCAGTCAGACTGGATGAAAAGAGTAGGTTCAAGTTTGGACACACACAACTCCTGTAGCAATGTGTAGAGAAAATGAAATTGTAATATTAACAGCATCACACCAGAAACTCAGCTAATCTGTATGTGTGCAAACTATTTTCTGAAATTAAACTAAAATATCTGAATTTTCTCCACAGAATGTATTTCACTAATATTTGCATTTCTAATATATGTAGTTGAGGATGAAGGTAGGAACCATGCAGTGTAGACAAGGACTGAAGCACCTTTCAAGGAAAAACATTTCCATTCTTTTCAGCTGGAATGTGCATATGAGAGTCTATCAGAACAATATTTTTACAAAAATATATTATTAAAATCCAGTACCTTCTTTTTTTGAAGTAAATCAGCATGGAGTAGTGATATTCCCATGTGCTGCAATGTTTCTCTGCCGTTAGTCTCCTTTGTTGCAGGTTTAACAGGCATTAAACTAGTAGTGATTGGTTGCCTTACAACTGGTGGAAGTCTAGGTCCTGGGTCAAGTTGCAAGTGCAACAATGGAATACCAGCCAGGTTCTGAGTGATCAGTGATTTGTCCACATTCACATGTGCAGAGAACTGCTGCTGCTGTGAAACTTCTTGCTGTTCTTCATACTGATCTAGATTCAGGTGTTTGGGAGGTCCCTTATGCACCATTTCTGCCCATCTTTCCTCTTCCTCACGCATTTGCCTTGGGATCTCAGGGTCGCATCTACTCATGTTCACATCGTCTTTTGACTTACTCTTTCTTGGTGTGTACGATGGCTGATGGTTCTGTAAGGAATCTGATGAACTCCAAGCTACTCGTGGTACTGGGGGTGGTCTAGAAAAAGCTGATGACATTTCTATTGGATGTAAAAATGCTGTTTTGAAATGATAACCTGGTTGAAGCTTAAGCAAAGGAAATTCATTTGAATAATGCAGTTGTTTTTCAATAGGGATAAGCTTTGGTGTCTTCTGGATGTCTGAGGAAGGAGCTAGGAGATGAAGTGGTTTAGTAGGTGCTGAAGAATGCAAATCTTGAGACGGTGGCATGAATCCTGTTTCTTTGCTGTGGCTTTCTAATAGGCTTAAAGAAACATTCATATCCAGATGATTCTAAACCAGAAAAGTAAACAAAACAGCATTTACAAGTACCTGGAAATAGCAACAATGCACTAAATATGCACAAAAATCGTATAATATTTTTTTTGTCTACAGCAATCACTACAAAAACATTTTCTAACTGGACAGGATAGATAACATATCAGATATACAGAACAGTCTTTATAAAAAACACCTTGATATACCTACTTTCATATGGCCATTGTTGCTTTCATCTCTTAAACTATTCCTTAACTGAAAATCAGAGCTCTTTTGACCAGGTTTTCCTGTATCTTGAGTGGGCAGCTGTGTTTTCAGAGAGCCTTTGACAGTGTGTGCAGGCTGGCTTCCTTCCAGATGAACAGACTGATGCTGTTGCAAAATTTGTTGCACATTTGGCAGGTTGGTAAAGGATGACTGCACTATTTGCATTAAACTCATGAAGTTGATTTGCTGTAACTAGATACATACAAAGAAAGTCAACACTGAAACAACTTTAACAGAAATCTTAACTAAAATTTTATGTCTAGGCTACATTGTAACTGTTCATTGTCCTGTTAATACAGATGACAACATAAACAACATCCCAAAGTTTCAATAACAATTAATTTGTATGAATGTTTATTGTACTGGACTTTTAAGATATACTAAATACAGGTTATACTAAAGCAAGACAAATTCCTTAACTTTTTTGTGAAGTTTGAGTAAATGTAAAGTCACATAAAATTGTCTCAATGTACTAACAAAAAATAAATCCTAGTATAGCTGCGAACTTATTACAGTTTCAGAATTTTTCCCAATCTATACTATTAAAGCACACTGCGTTAGGTGAACTAAAACACACTCCAACTTTTACTATTATATTACCCATTTTCTTGAATCAAAAGCCAGAGTTAAGCCTAAAACAAGTTTTCACAGTGGTTTACATGAAACTGGAAATCTCTTTCATAAACAACCACACACAGAATACCTTTAAAACAGTAATTATCTTCATTGTTTTAAATGACAGTTTGCACTGTGAACATTATTTTCCACATGAGATGCTCTCACCTGAACTAACTTAAACATTTCATCTTGGAGCATCTGCCTGGCACTTTCGGATGTGTTTGGTTTCTCTTCTGTAGGGGCTTCTTCCTTGTCTTCTTGCATCTTTGCACAAATGGAAGTATTGGAAGCAACACTTGACATAGTTGACATAACAGTCTGGGAAGGCTGATCATCACTTACAGAAATCTCTGTATTACTTAAAAAGGAAAAGAACAAAACTATGAAAAACATCCGTATTCAGAATGCCTATACAAGGCTGTCTTAAATCAATCAAAAAAAATTTTAAAAGTATCTTCATCTTTCTAAAGCATAATCAGTTTATAGGAACTATTTAATAATTAACACTGCATAATCTTCATTGGAGAGTACGTATGATACCTTTTTCCTAAAGCTTCCCAATGTACTGAATGAAAACTGGTAGTAAAGACCTAGGTTGTATCTGATTTTTTAGTCACAAGGTTTTCTGAAATGTTACCTTCACTAGAGGTGAAGGCAGAAAACTATGATTTGACAGAAACAGGGCCTGGGTAGTCATAAAACTAAACAGCTGATGAAAAATGGAGGAGGACATTATTAGCTGAAATAAGAGAGACGACAGATTCACTTTCACTTAAATAATTAAATGTGCCTTTATATATTTGGAATTAAAAACCACCAACAAAATTTCAGATCAGAAAAAATTAAAATTAAAATAACAGGTACCAGATGATACAATATATTGAATTTTCTCACAGAGATAATTAGATCTTTTAGTAGGTAAAGACTATTAAGTAGATGAAGTACTTACATGAAGAAGACAGGGTTAGGATTTACATTAAATTATAAAGAAACTGAAGGATTTCACCTACATCAACAGAAATTGATTCAAAAGACATTTCTGGATTTAAGAAAAATGCTGACATTGCTATGGGTACAGGTAGCCTTTGGAGGATTTTTCAAAACTGAACAGGATGGCCTCCAAGTATGTGAAGAAATTGAAGCATAAAGCAATGGCTAATGAGTAATATTGAAAAGGTTTTGGATAAGTAATAGGTGTGAAGGGGCACAGGAAATCTTTTGGAAGACAATTAGAATGTTTAAGTACGGCCCCAAACTCTAAAAGTTTGAGAGAAGTTTTTTTAAAAAAGCTGGCATGAAAAACTCAAGAAGGACATGAGATTAGCGACACATGAACATGGAATCCAAAGGGATGTGTAGTTCACATCTTCCTCTAACCTGAAAAAAACTAACAGGGACTGTTCTACAAGTAAAAGCCTCAGACTGACTCCTGACCCCTTCTCCCAGTTCCAACATTCTACTTGTTTAGAGCCATATTATGTATATTTTTATGTGCATCTAGCAGTTGCTGTAGGAGATATATATTTAGTAATTTTATAAAAATATTAATATAAGTTTATAATGTTATTGTTTAGGTGTTCTCTGTAATAATATATCTTCTATAGTAATATTATACAATTACAGCGATTCTGTCTGGAACCAGAGAACTAAAGTATCACTTCTCTTTAAATCTAATAGCTCTGAATTAACATATTTGATTCACGTGATGTTCTGGACAACACACAAGAGTATATGATCCTCAAGGATTACAGTACAAAAAGGTTTCAGGAAAGGCTATTTAGTAGAACTGTCTGCAGGAACAATATACTATACCTGCATATATTCTGTAATCAAATCTACACATCGTTTTACTTCAGATTGAAAATTGAATATGGATTCTCCATTTTTTATTAGACAAAACATTATAAGTTTACCTTACCTGGGAACTTCTGCATCTTGTTCTAAAGACAAGTGAGAAATGGTGCTAGTAATAACCTCAGTCGTGCTATAAAGAAAGAAAAAAATAGTATTGTAAATACTACAATAATTTTTTTCGCTGTTTATTTTCATTTTATATACATTTATATACATATATAAGTGTGTATATATACATATATATACATATATTTAAAAAACCACCTGAAAAAGTATTTTAATGTGTAGGCGATAAAATACCTGAAAGCCCCTTGATCAGAGCTATACTGATCTGCATTGCTTCAATTACTACATCACACTGCAATTTGAGCTGGCAAATGTTGACATTTATGCTTTGTCTCCCTAGCAATCAGAAATTGACACAAACAAAAGCACTGAAGAGGTTCTAGCTATTCAACACAAACAGCAGGCAAAAAAGAGTTGGATCTGAGTTGACAAAAGAAGAGAAAATGCAATTTAAGCAATACTGCTAATATCATTACAATCTGCATTCCTAAAAAAGAAAAGCCAATATCATAAACTGTTGAGAGGCATCTTATGTGCAGTTATTTTTGTCTCTTTCAAAACAAAAATATATCAATAGTAGAGGTTTCTAAGTCCTTCTAAAATTAAGCCATTTACAAGTTCTTCACCAACATTATACATAAACAAGAAAATTTATATGCCATCACAATTAGTAAGATTTGCTAAATATTAAGACATTGAGGCACTATATATCAGAGGGAAAGGTTTCATTACTATAAATTTTGTGGATTCAGGAAGAAAGCTAATTGAAATAATACGTTACTATTTTTCTGTCATTGAAACAAATGAAAAATATCTCAAAAGACCAAGATTCCTCATGGTGAACACAATGAGTCCTGTGTTTACAGAATATAGTTTCTTCCTTTTAAAAACTTCGGAGAAATCAAACCAAGTGGTAATCCGCTCAAACAGATTACGTGATAACCAGGTTTATGGACTGTTTCTGTAATTTTACACACACTGTATTTTAAATGTATAGATATTTTAAAATACCAAATTTTAAAAAGATCATAAGGAAGTAAATTTCTTTAGTTGCACAAAATGTCTCCCTCCCTTTTTCAGGAGCTAACAAGTTTATCGCCCATATCCATTTTTATCTCACTTTCTGCTTCCTAGACACCAACCTCTCTTTCTTCTACTTGTGTTAACAAATTAACTGTTAAAACTTCCTGGAATAACTGCTCTCTACCTGTATTTAGCCTGAAGATGCCACTCCTGTTTCAGGTCTGGAGAAGGAATTGTGCCTCTGATAGCTTTCCTCTATCTTTTTCCCCAGATAAAAAATACACTTGCCAACAAACCATGCCTCTTTTATTTGATCATTACTAAAATAACCACTCACCCACTCAGCACATTGTAAATGTGAAATATCTCTACATATGAAACAGGAGGATAACCAAAATTTTGTTTCAAACTATGAGTCTGTTGGTCTAAAAACCATCAAGAAACCAGCAAGAAACCACAGACTTCACTGGATACCATAATTAACAAAACTACTTTAGATTTTTAAGCAAAGCTAAAAGTGAAATTAAAACAACAACAAAAAAAGTCTCTCACACATTATTTTCAGCCTTTCCTTCCTTTGGTTTTTCCGCCTTTTGATCTTCCTGGGGACTATCTATATCTGAAATGGAGACCTGCTGGAATACAAAAACATGCACTTGAACTTGTAAATTTTTATAACCCCTTCTGCTTCAATAAAGTATTATTTTATTAGCCTAGAGCAAAAATATTTTTGATTAATCATCCACTTGGAAAAACATGACTGAAAAATAATCAAAATCGCATACTTACTGGAGGACAGCTACAGATTAGAAATAAAGAGATATCTTAATGATTCATCTGAGCATCTTTCTTTTTAAGTCATTGTTATGAGATTTTATTTTCAAAGTCATATCCATAAAGTACCCTGGAAATATACTCTGCTAATCTCGCACCCCCTAGGTAAAGATGAAAATGTAGAAACAACCCTATTATCCACAGTCTTTCAAAGAAATTGAAAGAAATGCAGGATTTTACATGTCACAGGTTCACTATAGTAAAATGCATGGTAGAATTAAAGACCACAATACAGTTGTTGTTTCTAATCCTATTAACAGCACTGAATCTAAAGTACTACAAGCAAGTAAACTGATGGCACTGCAGTTCACATTTCAGCATAATAGCCCTTAGTCAATTTCAAAGAAAGGAGACTTATGACCAAAGATGATGCGTGAAAAAACAAGGCTTGTTTACAGATCCAGACTGAGTTTTCAGATAGGAGCAAAATAAACTTCTTTCTAAACTTAATTTAAGAAGAAGCAAGCATGTAAACGAGTGGTAAAGTCTAGTTAATCACCCTGTGACAAATTCAGAGACAGCACACATTCTTAAAGAAAAAAAACAGTTGTTAATACAGCTTTCTAGTATAACAAAATAAACATAAGTATATTGAGGAATTCATATTTTGAAAAGAGTATTCAGAATAATTTGATGCTTCTATGCAAGGTAGTAACTTGCCTTTCCTCCTTGATGTTTTACAGGTTTGATCTTGACAGAGCTATTGGAGCTTTTTGGAGTTTCATATGGCTCCTCAAAGAACTCTATAAAATAAACACAATTACTCTGAATCAGAAAACTGCATGACATACAGCACTGTTGCAAGATTTCTGTCAACAGGTCACATTAGTCCACCTTTTCCCTAGTGAGAAGAAAGAGGTTGAGAAATGTCTCAATATTCAAAATTTGTAAATTCAAAACGTGTTATTACTAGCGACGATGCATGCAAAAAAAAAAGAGCTTATTTTCATGGTAGGAATATGAGAAACTTAACCTATGCATACTCAGCTTTTTCAGTTTTCAAGGCATATTTTTTACAGTTGCATAAACATATCTGGAATGAAAGTAAGTGAGAGAATGAAATATGTTAATATACATTGTCTTATCTCTGCAGCAAAAAAGTCATGTAAGTGAAAAACTGATCAGAAAGTGTTGGGAAAGCAACTGTATAATATTTAGTTATAATATAAAAATGATACAGTAATCATTTTAATAGAACAAGAAAACTTATTTCAGTTTTTTAATTAAATAAACAGAAGGACATATTTTGCCTATTCAAGCAAAACTCCTAGTGCTTTATACGTCAGCCTAGTAAAAGGATATACCATAAAACAAACCTTCTCCTCCTGATGTTACATCTAACTCCTCCTGAACAAACGGTCCCTCTTCATTAAGAACTTCAGTCATATGAGGTACAAAATAATTCCCATTATTAACTTCCTTCTTGCAAAAATATTCTGACTTTGTAGACATTCTGGTAATTGGAATTACAAAAGGTAATTAACAATAGAAATAATGTAAGTATCTGACTTAATTTTGTGCTGTTCCTCAGATTGTACGCTAGTGCATAATAGTAAAATAAACACTGCCGTGATATAATCAGTGTTCATATAAATTTTCACTCTGAATTTCACTTAAACTAAAATTAATAGTATTTTTGGTACAGCTGTGATATTTTTGTGACATTAATAGTACAGTCTTTCAGATGGGCTGTTTCCAGAAAAATGTAACCAATACATACGATCTACCAAAAATCTAAAGCAGAAATGGCACCATGACTTCAAAATCATCTGGTTAAGTTTACATTTATCTCCCTCACAATAACTTCCTTTATGAAAGAAAAACAAAAAGAAAAAATTGTCAGGGAGGACACACAATATCTCAGAATACTAATACCAGAGATCTTTTGGTTTTTTAGTGTACCAGAAGATAAAGAGAAATGTCACAAAGGACTCCAGGTTATGGATCTCCATCTTCAGAACTGCGTAAAATATTAACAAACAAAATATTTACTCCCTTTTCCATCTATTTTTCTGACACGCATACATATGAACATGGCTAGATTATAGATCCAGGGAAAAATAAACTAACATAGTGAACTCCTATCTCAACACAAAGAAAATAATTACACTAAAGAGAGTGGAAGTTATCCGAATTCTTTGAGAAAAACCATAGTATCAATTATATCAGAAATCCAGATTCCATTTCCACATCACTAGGTTTATAAACAACAATGTACAATTCACTTCATATGCAACATCTACATTGTTTTCTACCTAAAGGTAGATCTGCTGATGGAGAATATTTAATCTGCTTCATGTAGCTGTAAACAGCACGCACGTGTTTGACTTTGCACTCAAAATAAAATACGTTTGTAACACGTAATAACAGCAGAACTCTTCATACTGGCATGCTGCTTGGCTAAGGAATTATGCCCAATTAAGAGTTCATATGCAACATCTACATTGTTTTCTACCTAAAGGTAGATCTGCTGATGGAGAATATTTAATCTGCTTCATGTAGCTGTAAACAGCACGCACGTGTTTGACTTTGCACTCAAAATAAAATACGTTTGTAACACGTAATAACAGCAGAACTCTTCATACTGGCATGCTGCTTGGCTAAGGAATTATGCCCAATTAAGAGTTCTTAACTAAAAAAAAAAAAAATATTACCCCAAACCAATTTCGCAAAGATCATCGTAGGCTTGTACACTCTGGACATCAAGAGGAGGACTGGCCAGTATGGAAAAGCCTTCATCCATACTACTTTCTTTCTCTGTCCTAGACTGGGCTTCTGATAGAGATCTTTCAGAGACTTTCAGATATTGATTATCCGGACTCTATGAATAATAATAATAATAATAATAATTCAATAGTTAAAACAGAGATACCAAATACTTCAAAAAACCCCCCAACTATTTCATATAGTATGTTTATGCTTAACTTCATATAGTTTTCTCTATTATAGAGAAATTCTGGATTTACAGTTGCCTGTGGAACCTGAGTTTTGCCCCTTTTTGCATTAAGTGAAGCAACAGTCCTCTGAATTATCCAAAGGAAACAAAAAATAAAAGAGAGCTGTCAGTGTCAATTGAGCATGAATTGGCAAAGATGCTATGTGACAAATATACTCTATACAAAGATATTGATTTGGCCTTCATCACATGTAATACGAAACTTTATCACTGAAGACAGTATAAGAGGCAAAAAGCCACAAAGAATCATGTAGTAAGATGCACGCACAGAATTTTGGCAGTAAGTTGTAAGTAAATTATAGGTGGCACTTGTTAGAAAACAGAAAATACAAACCAAAACCAAGACAAAATTCTTTTGATCTGGGAGAAAAGTCTTCTCAAATAAACCCCACAACCCTCTCCCCTCAAAGCCTTTCATATAGACTTAAAGAGGATAAGTGATCCAGTTGTCTCTAAATATAAAATAAACCACTACTCATCAGGTTCTTCTGGCAAATATCTTCTTTCATATTAACACACATTCTCCAACTCTGTGTAACAGTGTTAGATAGAAATCCAAAATTAACTCTTCTCCAAACTTTTAGCTAGTTTAAATACTCCAGTCAGACTCTACCTGCACTGTCCTCAAAAACAAATTAACCTAAATTCAGGTCTCCCCAGAGAAACTATATTCCTTGTCTTGTTTTTCCATGCTCTATCTCCAATACTATATTTCTTCCAAGACAATATCTAAAACTAGATACAATGGCCAAACTTGTAGGAATTTGCTCAAATAGTGTGGTATCTAGATAAATTAGTTAGATTTTAAACAGGACTTCCAAAGAGAACTTCGATCGCCAACGAAAGTATTCCTACAGACAGAATTCCAGTATTCCTGGGATGTTTCTCTTTTCCCAGCCACCCTTAAAAGACAAGGCTATTAATCAATATTCCAGGTTTTACTGAGAACAGAACTATGAGGTAAGAGATGTGTGCGATTTTCTTTACTGGCATAACTAACTCACACATTTCATTGGCATGTGCTGCATCTTCTTTCTCACCTTTAATTTAACGCTCTTTGTTTGAGATCCATCTCTGTATAACTGTTCTAACAGCCACAAAGAAGTAAGGACAGCAGCTGCTGATGATTTCACGTGTATCATTGGGAGAACCTCTTCTAAGGAATCTTGTTTATTGGAACCACAGAGCAGTCTTTTATCAGACCACCTGATCATCCACTCAAGCAATTTTGCAATATTGCTCAACTTATCCGTCAATTCTATAGCTAGTTCTTCTCCTGGTACAATATCAGCTGTATCAACTGTTTTGTAAATGTATTTAGAAGCTGCCTGAGTTTGCAGGGTAGAGAAAGCATGGTTAGGAGAGGCCTGGCTTGCTGGTGCAACAGTGACTCCTTGATTGTCACTCTGAGCTCTGTAAATTGACTTATGTTTTAAACCAAATAATCCTTCGTTAAGTCCTTTCATTAGGTTATGCACAAAAGGTTCTGCTGCCTGTACAATGGTTGGATTTTCCAAAGTATTTTGGTTTTCGTAATAGACAGACACTGTTTCAGGATCACAAGATGCCAGGGTGACAGTGTAGCAAGACCCTGCTCTAAACACACTTTGGCTTCTGGTTTTGCCTTGTCGACGTTTTAGTGTTGTATGAACATCAAAAAAGAGAGAGTTTAATTCGTGCTCTCGCAGAAGTCCAGAAAAGCTAGTAAGAAATGGAATTGCAACATCAGTGTACTTTATCAGGTCTCTCTCAAGAACATAACTCAAAAAGAGTTCTAAGAAAATAACATATTCGTCATCATCACGTTCAAATTCCCATGCACCAACTAAAGGCAAATTACGTTTATTAAGCATGTCTTTTCCATATATTTTGTCTTTATGTTTTGTTTTCCAGTTAAGAGCTTTTATCTTGTGTGTGGTATTTTTGCTACTTATTTCTTTTTGTCTCAGATGTTCATTATCCCTGTAAGACAACAAACATAAGTACCATTAACACCAAAATCCAGTTTAAGACTTACAGGAAAAAACAAGAAAATGCAACATTACTTCCTTTTCTTCCCCTATTGTTAAAAACAGGAAACCAATAAACCCAAATTTACATTAATACCATGTTAAGGTGGCAAACTAATCAAATGCAAAATTCATAGTTTTCACACAGACAGCAACTCAGCAGTATCATATATGAATGCAGTCATTGTTGATAGTAATTTACACTTCAGTATAATATAAGCCACATTAACCAATATAATATCGCCGGTTCTAAGATTTGTTAAATTGGTAGATTTTGGTGAAAATATTACTTGAACGGTAAGAGACAACTTTTTTTTTTCTTTTTAAAAAAAATTTAAATAGAAAGCCTTCTGCAGAGATTGTTTTTCCTACCTTTGGAGTGAAGGTGTTTGAGGTCTTGTTTCTTCCGTAAAAAAAGCATCAGAAAGTGTATCTGCTGTCTCAGCATCACTATGTACCTGAGGACTCCCAAGATCAGTAAGTGTGCTTCTGCTTAGACTAGTGTCTCCTGAGAACCTGTCATAACAGTGTTCCTCATTATCTGCTGCTCCCTCTTCTGCTGGCTCCCAAATATTAATTTCTATGGGGCCTATATTCCTTAGTACACGTCTCAAGGCCTTCACTCTCAGTTTTTCAGTAGCCTGAATAATAATAGACATCATTTCTTCCTTTTCAGGACCTACTGAATGAAAGAAAACTGTAAGATTTTAAACGCAAACTTCTCAGTTTTCAATTATTCTCTCACCTTGAGGCATGAATGAACTCTGAATCATCATAAATTATAGTCATTTAGAAATACAGACAAACTGTGATAAAGTGAAAGAACACCATCAATTTGGGAGTCATCATATTCTGTTATTGGTACAGACATATCAGAAAGAAAATACAGAATTTGCCACAAAACTTTGTCAAAGTTGTGCAACTGAAAACTACAGTAATTGTTTCACATGGGGTATAAAGATGGTATTGTCAAAAGTTAATTAATAAGTAGGGTAAAAAAGAAAGCTCCTTTAATATTTCCTGAAGAAGGATGCACACTACCTTTAACAATACTGTGTCTGAGTCGCTGTTGAAGTCCATGATATTTATCCCTTAGTGGAACTCTTATATCTTCAGGATTAGGAAACGCTTTTACGAAAATCTCTGCCACCTGCACAAAATAAAGTATCTTTTGAAGTAGCTAACATACACGTAAGGTACAATTTCCAACAGAACTTACACCACTAGAAAGTCTAACCAGTAGCTTTTACAAGGAGAAGAAACACCTGTGATAATCTCTATTGCTTTAGTTTTAGCTTTAATGCCTTTTACCTTTTTCACTGGTGGCAATTCTCCAAGCAGACTCAAAATTACATCTTGAACTAACTCTTCAACATTCATGAACCTGCAGAAAGGAAGCATTCGACAAGCCCACTCCACTGCATTCAGACAATGCTCAACTGTGGAGGCATCATATTCATTCTTCTTCAGATCCTAAAAAAACACCTTGCTATAGAAACATTAATTGATATAAACAATATATTTCAGCTAAATTATTCATACATTGCAAATTGTAATGATTCTTCTCCAGCAACAGAAAATTAAAAACTCTAACTTAACTGACAGAGAACTATACAGTGCTAGCAGACAGACCAAGGTTGTAATGGACTGTAACTTACATTAAAAAAAAGGAAGGAAAAAAAACTCAGAGCTTTTTTAAACCAGCTTAGGAAATAGTTCCATTAACAATCTGCTGAAGACTCTGTTGGCATTTTTTCAGAGTAAAAATTGAGGATTTAACTAAATTAGCTGTAATTGATAAAATATACTGAACTACCAGCTGAAGTAAATAATTTTACTGTGACTTAAGGTGATCATAAATTCTTTCTTGGGAACAAGATATTTAAGCCAGCCAAGAGGCTTTTAGGATGGATCAGTTTATTCTGAAACATCAGTGGCTTCTATCTATCTCATTTGTCACTGTTGCACAAAGCACAGAAAAATCAGTATATTCTGCTTCTTGAAACAGAGCCATCCTGTTTACCTGAAGCTTGATTTTTCTGGTGAAGAGAAATTTTGGATTGTTTTAAAAAACAAAGCAACCTTTGCTACAGAGAGTTAACTTACTAGACTAGATAGAACAAAAATCAACATCTGTACTATTACAGAATATATGACAAGTATCATGCTAGTAGTTTCTTTTTTTTTCTTCCCTGACCTCTGATATTAATTGATGAAGGTATAAGTAGAGAAAACTCGGTTACATTTTAATCTTTTTCATTATTCTTTTTGAAAACAATGTATATTTAACATACCAAACAAAACACTTTTTGGTGCGTTAAATACACATCGGTTAGGAAATACCCAAAATATCTTAATCTAATGAAAAATAAAAAAGAAGCAAATACTTAGGTAGACAACAAGTGTAAAATACTATTGCTCTCTGGCAGTATCTCTTCAATTATCTGAGTGAAACGTCAAGCAAAAATCCAACAAAAATACTACTAGAAAGATGTAGTTCACACGGACAGGACTATTCTATAGCACCAAATAGTTCCTGCACATCATAACACTGCTAATTTTGTCATACTGAGGAAATAAAAGTTCCCACAGAAATACACAGCAAACCTTTAGAATTCTTCTGATAGCTTTATGCAGTTAAAATTTATCTTTACTGTACTAGTAATAAAATTACCTTTTGATTGTTAATATTTTCCCTTGCAGTTTGGTATCGCCTACAACTGTCAGATAATCTTTCACGAACATGAAACATCCAACACAATGCACACAGCTCTCTGAACCAACCTACGACACAAATGTGCAATATGGTGAAATTCTATTTAAATAAATGAAAAAACAGCTCGAGATTTTTAGCTAGCAGAAAGGAATTAACATTATCTTAACAGTATTTAAAGAAAAAAATTACTCATTCTTGAGTTTCCAACAGTGCTCTGCAGCTAGAGCTCTTTAGTCCTGCTCAATGTTCATGTTCTTTCACATCTGACAGACCTACAACTCACACAACAATCCAGAACAGCAACTTTCAGATTAAGTTTTGATAACTAGCATAGAACTGGGGAAGGGAATGTGTTTCTGTACACACTGCCTATATTTGCCACTTACTATACTATTTCAAGCTAGTAAGAGTTTCTTTCACCTGTGGACTATCACGTGTGTTTATTTTTCCAGCTCTAAATTATTTTATTGCATACAGACCTAAAATTTTACAGGTAATATCATCAAACTGATGGTCTTCAGAAGATGTAGATCTATAGAAAACAGTGAAGAAACTGGAGTAACGAAGCAAAGTCTCTGGGAACGGACCCAGCGAAGGAAGAGATCCTTTCATTCGAATCTATAGACAGTAAAAATAAAGAAATAAATAAACAATCAAAATGGAAATAAAAATCAGTTAAAGTTTTGTATGGATCACTACTAAATGTACGGCCTCTCAGTTATCAACAGAATACTGCCCAGATCAGTAAAATTCCCTTGTTTGCTTTCTGGTTTATTCAAGTCAGTATTCTGAAAATTCATTTCAAGGAACATGTTTAGTATGAGCTACGGCACAAAAAATGGTTTTGTTTGCATGGTTACATGGTACAAGAAGAACCAAGATCACAATTAAGAAACCAGTTCAATTCAAGGCACATTCAAGGCTGCTGTCAACCAAGGCAGACTAGTTTTCCCTGCTGTTTCAATTCAGTTGGTACTTCTGATCACCTCCCATGCCAGCATTAGGTATGTGACCATGCAATGAGCAAACAGAAGCAAATATTTTCAAATGCTCATGCAGTGAGCATTTGAAATATGCTCACTGCATGAATGCTGGAGCAGGGGGGTTGAGGGAAGGCAGACAGTCACACACACCCCCTTCTGCAACAAGTCAACCTTCTTTAAGTAGTTGTGTAACAATGACTTAAGAAAAGTCTGAGTTTACACAAAATTTTTTAATCAATATATTGTAAGCTTGGTTCTGTGTAAACAAAATGGACGAGCGCATTTGAAATATGCTCACTGCATGAATGCTGGAGCAGGGGGGTTGAGGGAAGGCAGACAGTCACACACACCCCCTTCTGCAACAAGTCAACCTTCTTTAAGTAGTTGTGTAACAATGACTTAAGAAAAGTCTGAGTTTACACAAAATTTTTTAATCAATATATTGTAAGCTTGGTTCTGTGTAAACAAAATGGACAAGTAGAATGAGATCTTTTAAGTCCTGTGCACTAAGATAATCACTCTACCTAAAGTAAGCACTGCATTCTCTGTTATATATTTAACCCTAAGTGATCTGAACACACTTCCCTTTAACAGCTGTAATTCTCACTTAAAATCAGCTCGTTTCTTTCAAATTGAGAAAGAAATGAGTTTTTAGGTTACCAAATGGGTAGGG